TGGAGATGTTTTACGGACCTGTGATAACTACTCCACTTTGTTCTCAGATGGGAGACGAGTGGTTGGAGCGCGTGCTCTCGGACGTGTGGCGAGGGCGTGCAGTATCGTATCGTACGTTGCTGGAAGATGCTGTCTCCTGGGTTCGACTCCTCTGTCTACGATTCGCTCTGTCTGTCACATGATCTCCACAAACCAGCCAATAGGAAGGTGTGCCACGGCCAAAGCTGCGGACCCCAGTGGGAGGTGTCGGAGTGGTCGGAGGTTTGTGCTACAGCAGCGTCTAACTTTCATAACAACCAGTTCTCGTTTAATGTTGGTTCACTGCAAACTTCTTACATGTCCTTACGTGTTACCAAGCAAGAAGAAACTTTCCATGATTCACCTTTTTGAGATTTTGTCTCCCGTCAGGAGGACACGTGAATATTGTCATACTTCATCACACCAGCTGTCATTCATCGTTTCTCCCTCCGTGTGTCAGTGCTCAGCACGCTGTGGCTCTCGGGGCATCCGCACTCGAGAGGTTCGTTGCTCTATGGAGAGGAAACTGTGTAACGAGACCTCTCGGCCAATAGAGAGCCAGGAATGTGAAGGCCCACCTTGTGACAGACGATGGAGCGTTTCTGATTGGGGACCTGTGAGTTCAGCCCTTTACTGTACCCACCACACACTGACACTGTCAATCACTGTTTCCAAGCCTGAAACTGTAAAGTTTGGTCATTTCGATGACCTGACAGTGTGTCTGTGAGAGGTATCACCAGATACGTCACCATGGTAACAAACCAGTCTCGAGTCACTCGGGTCTTTATCTTTTGATTTTCTTGTCGTTTTTAAAGTTTTCCAGGCTTTATGAGCATCTGTGGACACTCGCTGCTTTTTCACTCGTTTACTTGAACCTGAATGTTTTTGTTGTTAAGCCACTAAACACTGCTTCATGCCCAACTCTGGGCTGTGTGTGCAGTGTGCAGACAGCTTAGCAAAGAACCACTTTGAAACTGCATATTAAGATTATTCGTTATTAGCACAAAAACACAGAGTTTGCAATGTTTTTTTTATTATTCTACGAAAAATGCCGAAGATAAAAGAGTTTAACAGGTTAAAATAGGTTTTATATAGAGCAACAAAGAACTACACAGAGCATTTGAAGCCTTTGGGCCTTCAGTCGATCCATCTCTTTGCTTCAGCCTCTCCTGAAATGGTCCCAGTGGAACGGCGGCTGTCAGTTACTGGGCTGAAAACCAGTGGATTACAGTGGGATAAACATCAGATTAATCTGACTCGATTTTGCAGTGTTGTAGTTTTCAGAGGTGGAGGTTATGAGCAGCTTTTGTGCAGCGTGTAAATGTATTTTGCATGAAAATGTCTCTGCATCGTGTCAGTGCTCAGGTGAGTGCGGGGAGGGCAGGATGGTGCGTTCTGTGACCTGCCGTTCGTCAGGCGGACTTGTGATGTCAGACAGGCAGTGCGACCAGCCGTTACGCCCGTTGGCCATCTATCCCTGCGGTGACAGAGACTGTGCTCCACACTGGGTTGAGCAGGAGTGGCAACAGGTGACTGTGGCACAGTGAAGACGTCATATTTTAACGCTATATAAGGATCGTGCACTCTTTAGTTTTGCATCTGTGTTTCAGTGTAACGCTACCTGTGGCCGCGGCGTGCGACAGCGTCAGGTGGTGTGTACTGGCCTGGAAGGAGGAGTGTTCAAAGAGTTTCCAGACAGCAGCTGTAACCAAACCAACAAACCGCAGATGAGCTCATCCTGCTTCCAGAGACCCTGCTCCAAGTGGTTCACCACATCCTGGTCTCAGGTAGCGACGCCTGTCATCAGCCACCCAGCACACAATCGCAGCCGTCTCACATTTTTCAAACTTTCCTCAACAAACTACAATTGGCAAGTTTGACCTCTTGTTCACTCAGTGCAGCAAGACCTGTGGGCGTGGCGTACAGGTTCGAGAGGTCAAGTGTTACCAAGGGGAGGAGCTGGTAACGAGGGGTCACAGCTGCGACTCTGCCCTCAAGCCAGAAACCAAGCAGAGCTGTGAAATCCAGAGCTGTCCGACAGAAGCACCAGGTATAAAAACTCCAAGAGCAGACGATGCCACCGTGAGACGATGACTTTCTAACAGGAGCTTTGTTATGTGTGTGTTTATCCTGCAGCATCACAAGGAGCAGACTTCTGCCAGGACAAAGCAACAGCCAACTGCGCCCTGGTTCTCAAGGTGAAGCTGTGTTCCCACTGGTACTACAGGAAAGCCTGCTGCCAGTCCTGTAAGGCACCCAGACCCTGAAGCCTTCGCTGTAACCTCTCACCTCAGCATCA